ATCTGGGATGCTTATTACCCCGAAAGATAGCGAGATTAGATGTAGCAGCATCTGGGAGATGCGGGAGGCCATATGTCCCTACAAGCCCCGACCAGAATGCAAATAAAGAAGGAAAACAGGCCAAAACTGCACTTACACAGAGCAACCTCGAGAAACAGTTATCAGTATGTCAGTTCGTTAAACTCGACGACAGAAACAAAGGACAGGAATCTACATTAGGTACTTGATACAAACCAGAGAGAGACTAAAGACAATCACCATCACAATGATCCAACACCTCATACAGATGACTTTGACACTCAAAGGCCACATAGGGAATCGTTCAAATTTCTCACAGACTGAAACTAAACTAAGGAAATCCTTGACCCGAAGAAGGAAATCCAGAACCATTTTTTAATGAATGGGGCACACATACTTTGTAGGAATGCTATCACATCAGCCGACTCCTGGTTCCATCTCCACCAAAATCTCCGACCAGCTTCAGGGTGCCAAGTAATCCTTAATCAGACCCAAGTCCCATCTCAAAATGTTCGAAACATCCTAGCAACAAACATCAGTCAGCCCCTGATATGATCCAAGCTGCCCCTACAAGCATGCGCATTTATTAACAAGCACAATTAATTAAATATGTCCCAAACACTACCTCCACACTAAAAGCGTAGATGACAACAATCCTGTACCTCCTACGGAAAAAGAAAAGTAAGTGGTGGTATTGCTTTCGTGTGGAATAAAACAATCGACCATGTTGTGATGATCCTTCCGAGCGGTAGATTACAACCGATCTCCAACCCTAAATATATGTGATATGCCATAAAGTAACATACCTACCGATATCATACAAGGAATCAGACAAGGGACGAATTGATCAACTACTCTATACAAGCTCTATGCCAAGGACACGACATCCTCCTAGAAATATCACCAAGGACTTACATAGGCAACATAAACGTAGGCGCACTATCACTCGGCGACGACACTGCTCTCCTGACAAACAAGGACAACACTTCATCAACATGAGGCCAAGCAGTCTTCATGGTCACCTGAGATCAGCAATATTTAATATAAAGCTTAAAGGGTAGGCATCAAGTGTCATGAAACAGAAATTGTGACACTGATGATAGTAAGCCCGTGTCAATACATGCATACCATCAAAACTGTCATCCTATACTTATAAATCTTACAAAGTTTTTTCAAGTGGGAAATAATGTTATGCTCAAAAATGCAATTCTTCTATAAAAAATATAATAAAGTTAACCTCCTTACAAGGAAGAAATGTGAGAGCCATTTTGGTCATTAAAACACTTTAGGACGCTTATATCCTAGAAGAGCATTTGATTCGACCATACTTGGGTGTTGAGAACATTTTTTGAAATCTAAGTCAATTTGAAGTCCGTTTTTTGTCCTGCCTAACAACCCCCGTGGGTAAGTCAGCATCAATCTATTCATACCATCTAGCCGTCATCCTTCATTCATAATTCAAACCAACTTGGAAATATTTCCAATGGAAGTTTAACAAATCATACTCAAAAATCTATTTTCCTATATAAACTATCGTAAACTTTACCCCCTCCCCATTTTGATACCCTGGCGCCATGAAATTCACAAATTGGTAAACCACCTTAAGATGTTTCCATCCATGAAAAGCATTTGGTTCTGCCTTATCTGTGTGTTGTTAAGATTTTTTTTAATTTGAGTAAATTTGACCCGTTTGGCTCCGCCCCTTAGGCCCACAAGGGATGAGGAGAACATAATTCACTATTTTGTTTTATCTTAGACCAGTGAAGGTTTCTGAAGATTCATTTCTGAGAAGTAGTCGAAAATATTACATTTTCTACGGACGCACGACGCCGGATGAAGGTGATCGCAATAGGTCATCATGAGACTTTGTCTCAGGTGACCTAAAATCAGAGAACTGTTCTATTATATTGCAACAAAATAACCAGCCTATCGTTGGTAACTAGGCGAAATTATCAAAGATGAATCCAACAAAACAACTAATGCATGAATAAGACATAAATCCAACATCCAGGACAAAATACAACAAAGGCAGAAATCTTCCCTACTTTAAATAGATCTCCATGGGCGTAATTGGGTGAGGTCAACCGTATCACATCTAGGATGCTATAAATATATGGCCTAGAAGTCCTATAGCTATTCCAGTAATATATCATTGCCTTTTTAGGATTGTGAGTTAAAATCCGTGAAGATAATGTAGTTTCTACCAGATAGATGACTATCTACAGCAGTGTACACACTTGAAGGTGCACATGCTCTCCCAACTATAGACAAACACTCTAATAGTATTTGGTAACATGATCCGTTTGTATAGGAAAACTTGTTATGAAAACAGCACAGAGCGCCAGCAACTTCCATCGTCATTTGACCTGATCGATAAACCGCCAAACAATGAAGTCTTGGAAAGAGGAGTGGACAAAGCTATAACACAAATCTGGAAATAAATATCTGGACAGGGGAGATAAAGCACCATCCAGTCATCGACATCCCCATGACAAATTGGCAGGAAGGCCACACCTGGTATGGAGTTACGTCCAAGACAGATCACGTGATGTAAGAGAAGTCAAAGTGAAAACTCAACGGGTACTTAGATACTTCACAGAAACAAAATTATATTAAACCAACATTTAGTCTTGCCAAGTTGAAGAAAACACTTTTCATTACATCGCATTCTATTCAGTCCACTAGATAGAACTATTTAATATGCATTAAGCTTTTCATACAAAGCAGTTACCCTGATCTACTGACACAGCGCATATTCGACTGTTCCCCTGAAACTGCAGCACCATTACCAATCTTAAATATCATGTGTTCTAGTATTCCAGCTGCATACCAAAAGAACTGATCTACTCAGTTTCAAATGACGCTCCAATCCGAGCATCAGGGATGCTGCAGTGTGTTCCTTTCCATTCTTAACTCGTCGCAGGTAAGGAGACGGTGTATTTGCTTAGAAACTTGTTGTAATGTTGTAGAATATTGTGATGTAGTGTGCACCAATCAACACTAATCACTTCATCACGAAAATCAGTTAATCTTATCCCAGTCACCGGGGTGCTCAGATTAGGTAACAGAGGCAATTTAAAGAGGAAGAATAGCCGTCAAAAAATCATGAATACTACACAGGTCCAATTTGCTGAAAGTACCATCTGTGATAATAGACACATTACTTGAACTAATTTGTGAAAATCCTGTGACTACAGTATACAGGTTTTGGTTTCGGAAACACTGAATTGACGTGCTTTTAAGATGGTTGCCATCGGATTTCAGTAAGGTCTATATGCGGACCAAACATAAGCAGAAGTAAAGTAGTAATAAGAAACTTTATAACCTTGTAATGATAACGAGGTATTGTTTACAAATCGCCCTATACAAGGAGTATCCATGAAAACATCAAACTATATAAAATCTCAGCAATTACGAGTGAGGATTTGCTACGAAGACAGGAAACGGACTACATATAACAATTGCAAGGGCAAACACCACGGCAGCATTGCTGTTCGACATGGTCACGAAACTCCGTCAGGACGGCTACCAGTGAAATGCAAGTTTAGGACTATTACCTGTGAAATGCAGGTACGGTATTTTAAGTGCAAAATGCTTAAAGGTTAGAGTTTGGCGTCTTCGAATCAGTTCTGATCATTTGGTGACTGTCGAGACGTATTATGGTGAAAGCTTTGCCTGCACTTTGAGAGTAGCTTGAAAGTGGTGTCTTTTTCGATCATCGTCAAAAAACAATTCACGTCATGACTCGGTAACAGCATAAAATAAATTCAGTAATTGCAACCGATACGACATTCTAAATACGTCATCATGATGACGAGGATTTGATTTCTTAATGTCTGTATTTAAAGCAATTCTTTGAACACATTTTGCTGCATGCCATAACGACTTTCCGTAAAAGTCGATGCACATGAATTTATTCCAAGAGAAGTCATCTGGTATCATTTCGTCCTCATCATGTTTACATTGTCTCTGTTATTGCCTTAAGACATATTTTTTAAGAAATAAGCTCCAATACATCTAACTTCGTATTGCAGAATGAAATATGTTTGCCAATGAAATCGTGACGGCGGTGATTTCTCGTGAAGGAACGGGGGAAACAAGGAACAAGGGCTATCCGTATCTTATTGAAGGTTGTAAGAGACATCTAATTATGCAGAACCAGGGCGGGGTGTTATTGATTCTTAATTTCATCCTCAGTATGTTTTCCCAAGATTGTTTTAAGACCACTTGTATGGTTCTAGGGCTTACAGAAACGTTTCTATCTTTTCCCTATTACTATGTATCTACCCCACTATAAAACAATTTTGTTTCTTGACGACAAAGTTTATTTTATGTTAAAATAATCTTTGAGAAAACACGAAAAGTAGTAACACAAAGGAACTTTCTTTAATCTTAAACATCTATAAGTGGGTACAATGTAAAGGCGGATTCAGAGATCTAATGAATTTTATTGTAATCTTCTTTTTGACTTTCTAGCTATGAAGGAATTTCGGGTTTGGTTGAAGAGGCTATTTTCCACCTTCATTGGATAAAGCTTTCTGCCCCGGTGAAAAATGTTTCCTAACCAATTTATCTCATTCCATTTAACAGTTCTAGATAAGTGGTTTTTAATTTTTTTCTGAGGGACAGACAGTTATACAACAGAAATCATGTCACAGAACAGATATCACTGCTCTTGGTTCAAGTCAATGATAACAGTAAAGTCATCCAGGTACAACAGTATTGATGTAAATAAACTGACATGTGTTGGTTTCACTGAACAAAGAGACATAACTTCTTGTTATGGAATTACTGAGATATTTGATTTATTTATTAGTTTGTCATATAAATTTTGCGATGTGACACATGTCAAGACCACACAGCATATATATAGTTAATTGTTTAATAAGTATTAGCTTCAAACTTTGTGAGACCACTCTCTTTTCTCTTTTTTTAAACTATGATGGCATTTGTTTGAGTAAACTAAATACAGATTACATAAATGATCTTGTTTTGCTTGAGCACAAAACCAAACAAAACATTTATCAACTTCATTTAAGCCTCATAAACATGAGATACCTTGTCACAGTAGACCATAAAAAAGTGGTAAATAACTAAACTGTAAATATATAAGAGCTATATACACTGACTGTAAGCTTAACAGTTGTGGTGACCTTTAAACACTTTTGAAATGACCTTGAACATTGTAGTTTTCCTTCAATGTATAAAGCTATCCACCAAAAATAAAAACTATAAAAGAACTACTATCCAGCATCCTTACTGAATACATACAAATTCTAACAGTTATCTTATTTTAGTATTTTTCAAGCTGAACTATACTGTGCGTACTGCATTTTTTGTTGTATATGTTAATTACATAGCGATTATTGTGGACATGCTAATAAATCCTTGTGCTAAGTGTGCTAAAATTTGCACCAAATTAAGCATGTTTACAATATTCCGCAGAAGTTTGTTGGAATACTATACAACTATTTATATTGTCATATTTCCATGACTACAAAGCGTAGAATAAGATGAACTATATAATGTATGTTGTTATCCTATAGTTTAAAAACCTTAACCAATATCATCTACTATATCTATAAAACTACTTCAGATTGAACAAATTATATTCACTTTACACATAATCAATCAACATCAAACTTTAACTAGAATACAACATTTTCAAACAGGTTTACAACACTGCTCATCTCGTAACCAACTTACATTAAGATAGATTCAGAAACTTAAAACATATTATGAATTAACAACACATAATTACTTAATAGCTATATGTTCTATATGAACGTTTTTTTAAGATATGTAAATAGGTAGGAAAAATGTTGCCAGAAATATCAATCACCTTAGTAATATTTAAATATTCAAATCAACGTCACACACATTTACAGGTAAAACTTACAACATATGTTCATGTTAAAATATTAATCAGGACACCTAATATCACACAATCACCACTAACAAAACCAAACTACAAAACAGAAATATTTTTACGGTTTGTTGTCAATTGCTTGATGGGTTATTGTCCTGCAAACAGTCAGGGTTATTTTAAGGCAGAGTCTGCTTGTAATAGCTGATTGCTACCTCAATGAGCAACATACAGGCGGCCCATAGCATGCCCTCCAGAGTAATAACCATAAAGTGTATTACCCAAGGGCACAACCACATCAGCACAAACGCTTGTTTCTCAGCTTCCAAGAAACAAAAATTAACATGGGTAACCATGCACTTCAGGACTTCACCTGAGGTTATGTATTCCAGTTCTACCAACTGAGCTATTGATATTTACAATTGTATGCCTGCGTGAACGATGCATGTATTCCAGTTCTACCAACTGAGCTATTGATATTTACAATTGTATGCCTGCGTGAACGATGCATGTATTCCAGTTCTACCAACTGAGCTATTGATATTTACAATTGTATGCCTGCGTGAACGATGCATGCAGTGAAACAGCACAATATTCAATTTATTGGTAAATCTTTTTCACTTTGCAAGAAAGATACCAAAAATTATGATATGTACCATATTTATCCTGTAACAAGCCCATGCTTGATAATAAGCACATGCCTGGTAATAAGTCTTCTCATATATTGCTGTTCAGTAGGATTACAATGAAATGTTATTTCATTGTCTTTCAATCAGAGATCTTTTGAACATATTTTAACAGAATTTGTATGTTGGCACAAAGGGGTTATTGCAGAAAAGATATGGTACACATAAATCACATCAATGTTTAGTTCAAAATTAAATTTCAGGATAACTCATGTATTTGGTGATAAAAAGAAAACAGAATCAGTCAAGAACTGAAAAAAACACTGTTGATGCACTTGATTGCATTTCCCTTATAAATCTAAAAATCAAATAAAATTCTTTAATGAAAAGGTTATCTCTCAATAAACAAATAGAAGCTTTTCTACAAAGATGGCAGATAATATTTGTCAATTTAAAGTTGCAAATTCAAATAGAGTTTCAAAACGACCAAAAAATACACAAAATGTTTTACAATTTTGAAGGTGATAAGGTGGTGCAGTGCATACACTTGTCTTTCACCTAGGTGTTCATGGTTCAAATCTCAGAACAGTTGTAAAATGGTATAGGGTTACCTGCCTATCCTCGTGGGGTTTCCACTGGTTTCCTCACACCATAAGACCCTGTGTATGCTTCTAACAGAGCCAACAAGAGTGATTAGCACTGGTAATTACTATATATTGTGAAAAAATCTGAAATTGCTGTAGAATAAATCCAGTGAAAACTGAACTAATTAATTATGGGAAAGTTCATATATTTATCTTGGATCTTTTGGGGATAAGAAATTCTGTGCAATGTTCTTGGGACATAACACATGACATCATCCTTTTTAAAATACTTACATGAAATTGTTACATAGCACAAAGAAAATGTTGATCAATGATGTCAGACACCATGATGTAACACAAAAAGTGGTGATAATATGCAATATATATATGAAAATAAATTTATCTGGCAAAGAAAACTTTGAGAAGTCGGATTTACTTAACAAAAACAATGACTAATTCTCATGAATACAGAGCTTGAAAACATGAATCATTTATAGATAGAAGAAAGTTATATCCAGGGAAACAAATTTCCTCAAGTGCCTACATTGTTGAAATATAGCTTCTAACTCAAGAGTAATCACATAATTGAACAAATTCAGCTAATACACACACACCACAGTTTGTTTGAAATTATGTAAACACTTCAAATTTGATGTTTAAATAGTTCATGACAGAAAAAGACAATTGCAGCCTAAAATACATGAATAAAAAAGTGTTTATACTCCAACTTCGGCTGCCATTGTTGGAATACACTTGCGACACATGTTTTTGCTATATTCAACAGTGATGGAAAACAACTGTATTCTAGCATGTGCATTAATTCAACAGAATTACTCTCTGAATTTACTTGACAATTACGTTTAGAAATATCAACAGTTGTCATTTTTACATTTCTTAATGAACAAGTTGATTTATTAAAATTTATAAAATGTCTGTTTAGCTTTGGAACTATATTTCTGTGCCAAGGAATTATTTTGGCATATGTCACCAGGTAAAATTCAATGTAATGTCTACATCAGGTAAATACAGATTGAACAAAAAACTGTTGAAGTTTCCATAGCCTGATTCTCAATCAGTGTTGCAAGATAAATAGAATACAAGGTCAATGATTTAAAATATAAGCTACATTTTGGCTCCAGACAACTTCAACACTCCAGGGGTTACAATCACTTTTGGTCTCTGCACACCTGGAACATGTCATGGCAAAATTAATGGCACAAGAAAAGTGATTGGATTTGTTCTAGGACAAAATAACTGGCCAATCACACACTGATATGCTCTGTTTGAAGGTTACAAAGGAGCAACACATAACTTCAAAGCCATTACAATACACTGTTATTCGACTTCGAGTACCACATGGAATCCTCAGTTTTGCCATGACATGTTCCAGGGGTGCAGAGAGCAAAAGTGATTGTAACCCCTAAAGTATCAAGGTTGGGCCCTGGAAACAATGACAAAAGTGGTTCGCCATAAAAACAGCTGATATTGTAAGACCCTGACCATGTTTTCTCTATATAATTTTACAGTATCACACAGTGCTGAAAAACACCTTGTGAAGTCTGAAGCAGACAGGGTGTCCATGGATACTTGCAATTCTCATGGAAAATGGTAGTATCCTAGGAGAAAAGCAAAATTTGTTGTTTCTAGCCCTGTTTTGGATTATTTAAATTTCTATCTCAATCTGTTGACAGGACATTCATAAGCTTAGAAATTTGTGAAATTAAAGCTGTTTTATAAGTAAATGCTTGCAGTTAAATTTCCTAATTCCTTAATAATGTAGAGAGACTAAACTGTAGGGAATCTGTTAAATAGAGTATTGTTACTGTAGTTCTACAGCAATGTAATTATTAAATAAATGTTTCAAGTAGTATTTCATTTATTTTATCAAGTTGACCTGATAATTGGCTTTTATCTTCATTTCTTACTTTATAGCGCACAAAAAAGATACACCTATTAACACACACACACCCCACCCATATTTCAAAATATAAGGTGCAAGTTGTTGCAAAGAATTATATATATATTTTTTTTGTTTCATGAAATTCTGGTAGTAAACTTTGACAATGGTTAAGCTGGGCCAGAGACATCCAGTGGATTTTTTCATGTCAATAGAAAAAAAAGGATTCTTTCTGTAATTATTCAATATTTCCATGTGATAGTGAATCAAAATACCAACAATTTAATGAAGTTAATGGTGATATTATTAAACACACCGGACTTCAAGTACATACAACTGATAATCTGTATGTAATAAGGCCTTTGGCAGGTTATACAGCCTTGTGTTCCCTGTCAGGATTTAATGCATTCTGAGCTAATAGCATTGATATATCTTGGTGAATACCAAGTCTTTGTTCATATACTCTGACCAGCTTTTATATGTTTTTATATGAAAATCCTGTCCATCATGTTTACTATAGCTATATGCTTAGCTGAAGGAGGGGAGATAACCATTATTCCTCCTAAAATTATCAGCAACCAACGACAAGAAATGTGTGACTAGCATTTTAATGGTAGATATCTACATCTGCTTGTTTTCACTATCTATACTCACGCCTAATCAACTTTGATCAACTTAGACTTGAATTAAATCAAATGAAAAAGAGGCAATAACTATGTGAAATATATATTACCATGATAGAAGCTATCACTGCAATACAAGACGATAATAAAACCTCCAACTTTTAAACCAAAACTTTACAGAAACTGTAGACCAAGCTGGACAAAACACACACTATGTTTTGTTTTGAGCAATAAAGGCAGCAACTGATACATAATAATGATGATGACGACGATGATATGATGATGATGATGATGATGATGATGATGTCCATCTACAAATTAACCGTCCATGTCAACATCGCTTTCATCGTCTTGACTTTCATCCTCTGCCTCTCCTTCTCCCTCCTGTTCCAGATTATCATACATCTCCATTGCATCTGCTCCGTTCTGCACTTGCAGTAAAACTTGTTTTGCTAAATCTCGAACTGCAGTGGTTGGTCGAGGGTCATGAATCACTTGTTCCAATAAATCAATGCCCCCTTCTTTCTTCAGCAAACTGCAGTACTTACCAGCTAAAAAAACCCAATATAACATTACAAGGTGATCAAGATATTTATATATAACTTTATAACAAAAAAGCATAAGACATGCAGAGTAAGTTTCCATTTGATTAACATAGATATCAAAATTCTTCCCCCCCCCCACCCCCCTCCACCTTGTGGACAGTAAGAACATCATTTTTGCCCATTCTTATATTGCCCCTTTAAATCGTATCCTATACTTACGATAAACCAGAGTAAGATTGGCTAATGCCCAAATAGACCAGTGTTGAGCTGCAGTTGTGTCAAAGGCTTTCACCAACTTAAAGATTGGCATGAAGGATCTAAAACATATAAAATGACAAAAGTGGGTAAGTCAGTTCAGTACTGTCTGTTAACCATTGAGAACTTGAAATTATAATTTTGATCACATGACAGGGTCAACATTGATAAGTGCTACTTACCTGTAATTGATGTTACGGCTCGAGTTGATAGGCCACCTCTCTATCGCAGTTGTCAGTCTATCAATAACTTCGTCCCGAGAGGGATTACTGATTGTCCAAGCATCTGGACCATCTGACATCAGGTGTGAAAAGATTCCTGCAGCGTTATAACTCACCTCTATACCATCACTTTTGGAGTCAAGGAGATCACTGAAGAGAAGCAGAAATCATATATTACCTGTAAATACATACTGCAGTTGATTTCAATATGAACGGGTTCATTTGTAAACAGGACTGACTGTTAAACTTCCAATGTACATTTAAAACTTGAAAAGTTAGTAAGCTCAAAAGTTTCCATCTCCTGAGTTTTTTCTTTCCTCCCCAAGACACCTTTTGATCCTTTGCCCTTCAATCCTTTAATTTATATATAGAGTTTGTGATCCAAAATGATTTATTTCCAATACTCTTTCCATTTTTTCAAACAATAATGCTTAGTCAGTTTATCAAACAAAACTCCAAAAATCATTTCTGGAAAAACTCTTTTTCACTGAGTAAGGTAGTCCTTGTTTCTTTGATACTGTCATATTAAATTCTGTTTCTGCAAAGTGACAGAAAAATGCTAGGACATGAAAGCTAATAGCTGTATCTTTAATAAATCTAAAGTCACAAAGCATGAAAACAAAATCAAAACCTTTCAAACGGCAGATAGGACTGCTTTGTATCCTTTTCAATTTCAAATTTTGAATGACCTTCAACACTGATAAAACTTAAGAATGATAAACTTCTTTTATTTTCTAATCTGAAGTAAGTAGATATGCTGCATCTCCAGTTAATTTTGTCTTGATACTAGATGTCCAACATTTGCCTACCTGAACATTGTAATGTATTCCGGATCCATTAACTTCGGGCGTAGAAATTTCACCTCAGCAATATTTCCCTGTAACAGTTTATTTATTAGATAGTAAATTACAATACAACATATAGTTAAACTTTTCAGATTCCTAGTCACAAATGGGCTGTTTGATTTTGATGAAAGAAACTGAATGTGCCAGTAAGAAAATAAGATTCCTAAGAGATAAATAGTGAATAATACAATACACCAGGACTATTTTTATAGAATTTTATACCATCATGTCTTTTCTGTCCGTGATAATTCGTGCCATGTGAATTTTATGTTTAAAAGTGCATGCACTTTTCCTATCTTCCCATTCATTCTACACATTTTTCAGACAAGTCTGTTCAAAAGTGAGACCCAAGTTGTGTCCAGTGATAGCTAAACATATTGAAGTCACAGACTAAAAGAAAATTTGATTTGCAGTAAAAGACATATTTAAAAAAAAAAAAAAAAACATTTTAAGACCAGGCAGTGGAATAAGCTGTTAATTCAAATAAAAGAATATTCAAATTGCTGGTATTAAGATCCTTTGATCCCAGAAATTGAACCAGCACCAGGACATCAGGACATTACTCTAGTTCTAAGTTCCTGAATGTATTCACAACTTTACATTCTAACAGATCTACTGCACTATTTACACTACGACTTTGTACTCTATACTTATACACAGTTACATGTACTTACCATCAGACCCATCATGTTCCTTAGTAGTTCAGGTTTATCCACAAATCTCTATCAAAAGAGGTAGAAATAAAATAAGCTTTATCAGTTCAATGTTTATTTATAAAATACATAATATATTATAATCAAAACTATGTCAATTCAAAGATTGAAAAATAAATTTAAATCTTGTCTCAAAACAAGAGATCCCAGATGGATCTTGGCATCCACCATCATTTGATCTTTATTTCTTCTTTAAAAGTTGGACGTTTTCCTTTCTTTTCTCTTCTTTCCTCTGTATTTGCTATTAATTATATGAAATTAAAAAATTCTCTAAAACATTAGCAATTATCTTTAACTACCAAATCCAAGATGTTCACCTGTCAGCCACTTTAGCTTTTATAATAAGTCCTAAAATTGATAAGGTACAATAAAAGATCAAGAGGAATCTACATATGAAATTTGAGAAAGATCCATAAAGTCCTTCTCAAGATACAATGATAACAAACTTTCATAGTCAAAATCCAAGATGGCCACCTGTAAGAAATTTTATTTTTTCTGATCATTTCCAAAACCAAATGGTCACAACTTGTGACCAAGGAAAACCTACATGTGGAATTTGATAAAGATCCATCTAAGACTTCTCAAGAAATTATGATAACAAAAATTCGTTTCGGAAGGGTAGATGGATGGACAGACCACAGATGTTGTTCAATTTGAATGTGGTAGCCCACCATCTGATGATATTAAAATTAAAACAATAAACAAGGTACAATGTCATATATATTCTTTGTGTTCCCTAGATAAATTTTTGTCAGCTTAGTCTAATAAGAGAAATGGTATTTGAGAAATAATATGAAATATTCATCTACCAAACTGTGTGCCTACATCCTTTTTATTAATACTGACCTTCGACTCCATTGTCAACTCTCATTCCAATCATCATTAACACTTTACAGATACTTACTGTTAAAAACCGTTATTCAAGCATGAAAGCAAGAAACTTGTACTACTGATCTCTGTAGTTCCAAAACACATGCCACAGATGTGAGGTTCCTACTTACATGAGGCTTGATTGGAGTATCACGTCTGTAAATAGTCCTTATACACCACAAACATGAGGCTCCTAACCTCCTATCTAAATATGAGAATCTCACCTGTAAACAGTCCTTATACACCACAAACATGAGGCTTCTAACCTCCTATCTAAATTTGAGAATCTCGACTCTGTAAACAGTCCTTGAACACCACAAACATGAGGCTTCTAGCCTCCTATCTAAATTTGAAAATTTCACCTGTAAACAATCATTGAACATCACAAACATGAGGCTCCTAACCTCCTATCTAAATTTGAGAATCTCACCTGTAAACAGTCCTTGAACACCACAAACATGAGGCTCCTAACCTCCTATCTAAATTTGAGAATCTCACCTGTAAACAGTCCTTGAACACCACAAACATGAGGCTCCTAACCTCCTATCTAAATTTGAGAATCTCACCTGTAAACAGTCCTTGAACACCACAAACATGAGGCTCCTAACCTCCTATCTAAATTTGAGAATCTCACCTGTAAATAGTCCTTATACACCACAAACATGAGGCTCCTAACCTCCTATCTAAATATGAGAATCTCACCTGTAAACAGTCCTTATACACCACAAACATGAGGCTTCTAACCTCCACCTGTAAACAGTCCTTGAACACCACAAACATGAGGGCCTCCTATCTAAATTTGAAAATTTCACCTGTAAACAATCATTGAACATCACAAACATGAGGCTCCTAACCTCCTATCTAAATTTGAGAATCTCACCTGTAAACAGTCCTTGAACACCACAAACATGAGGCTCCTAACCTCCTATCTAAATTTGAGAATCTCACCTGTAAACAGTCCTTGAACACCACAAACATGAGGCTTCTAACCTCCTATCTAACTTTGAGAATCTCACCTGTAAACAGTCCTTGAACACCACAAACATGAGGCTCTTAACCTCCTATCTAAATTTGAGAATCTCACCTGTAAACAGTCCTTGAACACCACAAACATGAGGCTTCTAACCTCCTATCTAAATTTGAGAATCTCACCTGTAAACAGTCCTTGAACACCACAAACATGAGGCTCCTAACCTCCTATCTAAATTTGAGAATCTCACCTGTAAACAGTCCTTGAACACCACAAACAACAATTTTTGTAAACAGTCCTTCACAAACATGAGGTAAACTCCTTGAACCACAAACATGAGGCTCCTAACCTCCTATCTAAATTTGAGAATCTCACCTATAAACAATCATTGAACATCACAAACATGAGGCTCCTAACCTCCTATCTAAATTTGAGAATCTCACCTGTAAACAGTCCTTGAACACCACAAACATGAGGCTTCTAACCTCCTATCTAAATTTGAGAATCTCACCTGTAAACAGTCCTTGAACATCACAAACATGAGGCTTCTAACCTCCTATCTAAATTTGAGAATCTCACCTGTAAACAGTCCTTGAACAAGTCCATACCTCCATTGTTCATAAACTTCTGACAGTTGTCAGCTGTTTCATCTGTAATGATCAGGAAGATGATGTAAATAATATACATATATACAATTAATCCTGTCTTTAAGTGGCCTTCGTAGGCAAGTGAACTTTATGTAGAGGTCGAATCAATCTGTGTTTCTAAAGTTCTACAACATGTGTAATGATGCCAAAGACTAACAAAATGAATAAGAATAACCTGTTATAAAAGTACGTTAATGTACCAGTATTTAATTGAAGAGAGCATACAAGTAGCTGTGCGATTTATCTGTGACATTTTAGACAGTACTCCATGCTACCTACAATAACTCGTCACAGGTGGGACTATATCAGTGTGATTTACCTGTGACATTCAAGACAGTAACTTCATGCTACTTCATCACAGGTGTGACTATATATCTCTGTGATTTACCTGTGACATTCAAGACAGTAACTTTATGCTACTTCATCACAGGTGTGACTATATATCTCTGTGATTTACCTGTGACATTCCAGAGTGTACTCCATGCTACCTCCAACACTTCGTCACAGGTGTGATTTTGCCATTTGTTTCTTATCAAATCTAGCATCACCTAATGATTAAAAAATAGATATACACATAAGTAACATATTTTGAAAATCCTGCACATTAGCCTAATGTAACAAAATCCATGATTAGGTGGAAATCCTGGATAAAATAACAAATAAAATAACAGATATTATCTGACTATTAGGGTCTACATTTCTGAGCCTCTGGTATCACATTGTTGTCCATTTTAAGGTAAATACAGAATGTTAAATAAGTCAGAAGCATGCAGGAGGTCTCAGTGTATTAGAAAATAATCCATGTTTTCTGTCAGGTGACCCCATACCTTTAGTAGTTTTACCATTGTGAAATGGGAGCACTTGCTGATTACATTATATCAAATATGCCAAATGGCCACCATATAAAGTTTAGAGGGAAGTGTTGTCCATTAGACAGGGAAAACTCCTGTCATTATTGTCTGCATAAATATCAGAACCAGGTAATGTAAGATATAAATGCCTTCGTACCCATGTGCAGAAGTTTCTAAATGTTACTTTTGACCCCTTGACCTTGAATCAGAGAAGATGTATAACTTGATGCTATGTGGTAAATATGAACCAAATTTATAGAAAGGTTCTCAAGATATATCACTGTACCAGGTTCAGATGGGACACTAGGTAGCACTTTATGGCCACTATAAAATAGCAGGGGTATACAAAGGTATATATCTGTACTGTACCTCCACGGCACCAAGAGTTCCAACAGTCTTCTTCTCATCCCCATCAACCTGGCAAGCCAGACAGTTCAGAAGGTATATGCTGATTCTCTGAATAAATTCCTCTTGGTCAGATATCCGGAGGAGATCTATTAGAACTTTTACTAGACGTTTGTAGCAGAAAAGCTGGAGAAAAAACACAAGTAACAGTTAAATACACAACCATAGAAAAAAATTGAAGCCAAGTACAATATTTACTTCATATCTTCTGTAGCAAAGCAGATATTTCATAGTTAGCAGCAGTTATTATGGAATAATTTTTCAGGTTGGTAATGTCATTAGAAGTTCTTACAACACAACCAGATTTGAGGGTAATGTCTTGATGACTACACGGTCACCTTCATCAGACAAATGACCACTGTGAAGCATACTAACACTGAAGTATATATGTAGTGTAAGGTAAGGAAGAACTCCATACATTGATTTGCCATATATCATACTTTTCTTACCGTCCATGTGAAAGCTATATCAATGGACACTGGAATATGCAACCTGCCATTTTTGTCCACAGGGACTTGGCAAGAATTTCCGGCCCATGGACTATATGTATGTATCATATCGGCTATATTATATACCAGGTATTCATTGCCTGGGATTGTTTATAAATACTGAAAGTTGACATCAATCTTACCACATCTTGAGGAATAGACAAGTTGCAGATAGTCAAACAGCCATTTCTCAGCATCTGAAACAAAACATAAAATAAACTAACGTTTGATTGAAGCAAAACAGAAAATACACTGCCAGCAGGAAAGGAATACCTGCATTGTCAGATACAACATTATATTCAAATGTTTCTCTTCATATTAAAATATGTGTTCATATTCAGTGCATACAGTTGAGTGTAGATTAATCTTTCCACCTTGTGCACTTGTAGTGCACAAGATTAAGTTTTAGATAAGGTTTCGACTACAGGTAAACTATTTGTGCAGTAGACCTGATACAGTGATGGCGCTATCTCCCCCCAATATATAATGGAGAGTACCTACAGCTATCTGTGATTTTTACCTGCATAATGCCTGAAATTCTTATCTGTATAATATCTTAACGTTGTGTCAATGACCTTGCTTTTATTCTACTGTAAATTTTTCTGCATTTCATTATTCAAACTATAAATAAAGCAGTTAAAAACTTGCAAGAATAAATGATAATTGCAAAAACACATAGAATTAATAGAAACCAAAGATCTGTGAATGAAAGTCATCCTACATTGTTTCTGTGTACAGTGAACAAAAAAATCTGTGCTATTTTATCTTAGTGATAATTCATATTTCTTATAATGTAAAATCATATCTTCATTATCTGAAACACTTCTTGCCATCAACTGTTACACGAAGAATGTCTGAGAACTTTGTAAAATGTGAAAATGTAGTTATTTGGAAAGATTAATAGTTTACCTTTTCTGGTTCTATAATCTCAGTTCAGACAATACCTGATAGTTGTTTCTTCAAAAAAAACCCACAAAAAATTCCTCTCTTTAAGAGATATACTTCTTTGCAAATATTTACAGAAGCTGCTTTCCAATTATAAAATTACAACTTAGTACATCGTGAATTTATGTATGTATAAGTTTGATACTTACAGTCATATCGTCATGTTGTTTCTCCATAGCATCCAGCAAACAGCTGATAAGACGTCTGAAATCATGTTCATAATTTTTCAAAATTTCATTGAATTTTTTTTTTTCTTTTTTTTTTTTTTTTTGGGAGGGAGGGAAGTGGAGAGAGCGAGAATTTAGCATATGCAGAAAAATATCACCTAACAGATAAGTGTATATAAGGATACAGATCAAATCTTAAAAGTGTTCCAATTTTGGTTTCTAGTCATGCATGAGAAAAATACAATCATAAATGGTCTCTAACTATTTGATGTGTCCATGTGATAGTGAGTCAAAATACCAACAATTTCATGTGAACATTTTAGCACTCTTTTACAGTTTTTAAAACCAAACTTTTAACAACCTTCTTACTTTTAAATAAAAACGAAAAATACACAGGATTTTCTCCTGTGATTTGTTCTCTCGATATACATACAGCATTCATAATAGTTTAAATGGCATTTTTAACAGAAGGTATCCTTTTATTGGAAAAGGTCAAATAAGAGAAAGTTGCTGGAATTCTTGCAAATGGACAACAACTTTAAAGTTATTAGTATACATGACAATAACTTTGGGAAAAATTCAGAATATTCCTTATCTTAATTGGATAATTTAGAAAGTAGATGTCATTTGACCTGGGACTGGTAGGTAGATTAATGAGTGCCACTATAGCATCAATTTTCATATTCACATATTCATTTAAAGTTTTAGCCAAAATACAAAATAAACAGTCTTAGGCATAGATAAATTACTTTCTGAACATAACTGTCGTCTATAACATATACACATGTATATTGTAACAGTAATTCACAAATTTGTCAAGTATCTTTTATCATAAATCACAAATTATATCTTAATTGTATATATGAGAAAATATTCAAACTATAAATGTAATTCATATATAGTAAATACCTATTCAAATACATGTATATAAATACATGTTAATTTAGAATTCATTGGGTTTCTTATACATGAGACAAGAATCAATATCAATTCAGACCTTTTCTGTAAGTAGGTGATGTTGTCTTTGTGAGGCCCTTTGACAATGTAAAACAAAGAGGCACTGAAATAAAAGCAATCATTATGAAAAATATAACACGAATGTTTTCATTAAACATTAATGATGCAAAATCTGTTTTAATGGTTCCAAAACCGAGGGTCAATTTGAGAAGTCTTCTGACCAAATAATGAAAAAATAAAGATTAAAAAGAAAAAAAATCATTACAACAAATGAACTGAATTATTGTCATCGAAAAAATGTTTTGAAATTACTCATGTGTGAGGATAAATCTACACAAACTTATAAATCAATGTTAACATAAATCTGTATGTCACTATGTTAATTAAGAATTTACTTGTATAAATTTACATGTGAAACATCAAAAAAGATCATTAATAGTTTCCTACAGGTACACTGTATAATATTATTAAAATTTCTCAGTCTAAGATAAAGTTACTTGAAGATTGTACAAAAGACAAACAAGTGATTAGCAACTTCCAATTACAAATTTAGAATTAAGTTTGATGTAGAGCTGATGTTGTATGATTCCTTGACCCAATGGTATGCAGTGCAATTGACAATGAGAATATTGTGGGATGGAACAACAGATGCCTGTCCCATGCCACAGAAATATCTATGATTTCTTGTTTAATGATGGAAACAAATATGGAATGGTAATAATGCGTCAAGTTGTAAAGAAGGGAAAATAAGTTTCAATGATATTGCTCAACAACTTGAGATAAGCAATATTGAATATAAAAGATGAAGAGTAATGGAGCTTTCAAATGTCATGAAAAAAAACTGTGACATGGATGATAGTAATCCAGTGTCAATACATGCATATCATCAAAACTGTCATCTTAAATGAATAATTCTTACAAATTTATTTCCAGTGGGAAATAAACAATGTTACACTCAAAAAACAATTTTTCTATAAAAACAAATTACAGTAAAGTTAACCTCCCTTGGAAGGAATGTAGGACCCATTTTGGTAATTAAACCACCTAAAAATGCTTCCATCCATGAAGAACATTTGATTCTATCAGAAGTGGGTGTTGAGATGAAGATTTTTGAAATCTGTGTCAATTCAACCACTTTTGGCCCCTCCCATCAGCCCTGCGGGGTATGCTAGGATCAATATGGACATACCATCAAGCCGTCATCCTTCATTCTTAATTCTAACCAAGTTTGAAATATTTCCAATGGAAGTTAAATAAATTATACTCGAAAATCTATTTCCTATATAAACTAAAGTAAAGTTTATTCCCTCCTCAGGGGGAAATTTGATACCCTAGAGTCATGAAATTCACAATTTTGGTAAGGCACTTTAAGATGTTTCCATCCATGAAGAACATTTGATTCTACCCTATTTGGGTGTTGAGAAGAAAAATTTGGAAATTTGAGTCAATTTGACACTTTTAATATCACCCCTCAGGCCCCCGTGGGTTGGGAACTGTATAATTCACTCTTTTGGTTCATCTTAGGCCAGGGAAGTTTTCTGCAAAATTGCATTGAAATTGGTTTAGAGATTTTGGGAAAAAGTTGAAAATGTTAACAACTTTGAAGGGCAGTAACTCTTCCAAATGCAGTCAAATCAAACTGCTGTTCTTGAAATCACAACTTCGTGTCATGGTATTTAAGCCTTCCTGGCTAATGCCATAATACATTCCGTCAAGATTTTTAATGGCATACAAAACACATTACATTAGTTCATGAGGATCCATCACAAATTGCAATGGGGCAGATTACATAATATTATTTAGCCAAGCATTTTCATCCTCTCAAAAGACTTCTTGTGAACCCAGCCCTATCACCTCTTGTAATTGACCCTTGTGAACCTGGCCCCATCAGCTCTTGTGATCGACCTGCATGTAGCCAGCCCTATCACTTCTTGTGACTGACCCTTATAAAACTGGTCCCATCACCTCTTGTGATTGACCCGTATGAACCAGACCTAATCACTTCTAGTAATGGACCCTTGTAAACCGGGCCCCATCACCACCACTTGTGATCGACCCTTATGAACCTGGCCCCATCACTTCCAGTGATTGACCATTGTAAATATGTTCCAATCATCTCTTGTGATTAACCCTTGTAAATACAGTCCCTTCATCTCTTGTGATTAACCATTGTAAATACAGTCATATCACCTCCTGTGATGGACTATTGTAGATACGGCCCCATCACCTCTTGTATTTGACCCTTTTGACCGAGCCCTTTTTCTTCTTGTGACTGACCATTGTAAATCTGTCCCCATCACCACATGTCATTGACCCTTGTTAATACAATCCCATCACCTCTTTTAATTAACCCGTTTTAAATCTGTCCCCACCACCTCTTGTGATTAACCCTTGTAAATCTGTCTTCATCATCTCTCGTGAATAACCCCTTTGAACCCAGCCCTCTTGTGATTAAGCCTTATGAAGAAATTCAGAAAAAGATACAGTAGAGACAGATAATTAATTACTTCTAGTTCACATTGTTAAAGGTCTACATTTTGAAACCTAGAAGGAGACAGAGAAAAATGAAAATTGATTGAAAGAAAATGTCAAAATCTAAATGGGGAGGTGCACTGGCTGCCTCATAACTCAATAAATCTGTTTCCATGTAGATGATAATTAAAAAATATGAAGCACATATGTACCTGGTCCCTTTAACAGTGCTACTATTCAAATGTGATAAAGTTGGTTGAAATAATGTAAATTGGGATATTAGAGAGATAGTACTTTTAAATACATGTAAAAGACACATACCTGCCAGAAATTTGAACTTGTTTGTCGCCTTGATTTTCTCTCATTCCAAGCAAAATTGCCTGAAACAAAAAAAAATATAAACAAATCCATTTTCACTTTTCCATCTACCGGTATTAACATTTTTTGTTAAACTTAAAGTTTCAATATTAATATGATATATGTTCCTGTTAAATTTTTCATGAAGTTACAATATCAAATATCAATAATGAAACAAATTAAATTTTGTAGTTTTTAACTCATTATCAGTCAGTCAGTTCAGACAGAAAATCTTCAGTTCAGACAATAATACAATACCTTTTTAAAGCATTTACAATGATGAGATTTTTTTCAGCAGATGTTCAAAACATACCATATCATTATTGTTTTGATAAAATAAATTACCAGTTAATGTTACAAAATGAGCAAGACACTGAATCAAATCAAAGCACTTCATTTAATATAATAATGACTTCTTTCATTTATTTCCTTTAAAATTAAAGCAGAATAAAAATAAAACTAGATTCTTACCTCCAAAGCTGCACAATGATTTTTGACCACCGAGTAACGGAAGATTTTGAAGAGGGAATTCAGTGAGGATGTGAGAGCATTGTCCCTATCATAGTAACGCTGTATTGAGATCAAAACTTGTTCCTCAGTGGCATGACCACTCACCTGTCAAAATAAAATGAAAGAAGCAGATTACCTCCCCTGATAAAAAGATCATTCTTATTTAATCATGACAGTTGACCTTCACTCATGTAAAGTTATCAAAAGCAACTAGTCTTTGAATTATCTAAAATGTGTAATTCAGGTGATTAGAATCATGAAAGTGGTCTATGGAAAGATCAAGGTCAATTTCTATGATTATGAGCCTTACTGGTTCTGGAAGAGAAGTTATAGAAATGACAGACAAATAAGAAATCAGTATTTCACAATCTTATTTCTTTCTTTGTCAAAAAAGAGAATAATTTCCATATAAGTTTCATTGTACCTGTTTAGCAGGCAGATTTTCTTCAGTACAAGGATCATCCTGGCAGTGCAGCAGACCCAGGAACTCAAAAATACGACCATCAAGACCTGCAATGCCACACCTCTCATTGTCTGAGGTTCTGAAAATAAAATAGAAATCATGACAAAAACTGGATGTTAACTAAATCTTCTTCTCACAATACATCATTTCTGGTTCTGATCCTACCATTTTCTTTCTGATATGAAAAATTTATCTTCTCAGATATCATCTTGGTCCTATCATCCGACCATTTTCCACAAAATTTTTCTGCATGTTTGATCTACTGTATATTTTCAATTTAAACTGATGAGCCTAGTCCTGTTTCTAATTATTCCACTATAAATAGTTTTCCTCTGAACAATTGCAACAACTTTGCTAGAATCCAAACAGACTTTTTTAAGACTGATTGCTATTATGCAATAAGCCCAGGGACCAAAATACAGATTCTGACTCAAAGTCTGAGAATGGCTTAATAGGGGACTATGACATAGCAAATGTTTTTTATTCTTCTGACCACGTACAAAACAGACAAGTGTGGCACCAACACATAATGTTTCCTCTAATTTTCATCTTTATTCATGCAACTTGAACACTTTTTTATGCTATACATTATTGTTATCAGCTATAGCTCCGTAAGATATTTTCATGTACGCATCTCTGAAAATTTCCAGTTGTACTCATTAACAATGTGATGATGGAACAAGTAAAGTGCAAAATGAATTAATGATATGTTCACAATCACAACAATTTAATGGAGTAAGCAAAAATTATTTAAAAATTGTTCCATAATGAAGACCCAGAAATTAGTCTGTTTTCTAATTATATGCAATGATCTGAACATAATGAAGGCTTTTGTTTTCCTATAACTGTAAATTCAAGCCATACTTACTTTGTTGTGGTTGGCTCAAGTTTGTGAGATACTTCTTTGCGTGGAATCTTCGGAAGATCTGTACCAGAAAGATCAAGTGATGTCAAATAAGGGAGAGAACTCATGAGCTTTCTAAGGCATTCCTCTCCATTGTAGTAATGACTCACAGTAAGGTGTTCCATGGAATCACATGAAATATCTAAGTGCCTAAAAAAACAGAAAAATTCATGCTTAAAAAGTGCAATGAATTAAGATCTGATCCACACGGAGGTTGCAAACATTTTCAACAACTATGCAATTTTATTATATTATACATGTACAAGAAAAGAAACCATAACTCTATGAAAGTGAATATTTTTGGAAATATATATGCAGGGAAGTAAGTTTTTCATTTCCTAATTAATCTTTCAAACATTCTTATTTCACTTTCATTTGAATGTACCAAATACATTATACTATACATATAACTTGGAACTCTCCACACCAACATCATGCATCTGATCTTTATATTGAAACATAAAATTCTGTACAGTGATCAATTAATTCTAATAGTATTTCTTCCAATGCCCCGTATTTATTGAAATTTAGCATATCGAACAATTATATTCTCATCAAATAGTGTTATTTTTTTGTTAAAGTTTTCCAGTTAAGAATTGTTACACAACTACATGAATTTTTTAAGCATTTGCCTGAATGGCAGCCAGCATCATCAAATATATCTCACCTCAAATTTTTGCATTTGCAAACATGATCTATAGCATGTTCCAAGTCATCAGACTTAAACATAATCTGGCTTAAATTAAGCCACATGAGGTTATGAAGGTTTTCCAAACACTTTAAGTGAGCTCCATCTAGGACACTTCTGGACAGATCAAGGTGTGTTAACCTAGTTAGAGGGTTCAAAAGAATGTTAAGACAACAGCTTTGATAAGAATCCTTAAAATAACAATCACGTAAAGAGAGAATCCGTAGGTTGGGAGTATTTACAAAAAAATCTTTTCCAAACTGTTTTTCTCCAACAATGTTGATTTGTAGATTTTCCAACATCTCTGCGATAACACCTGTAAACGTTAAATCTGTCATTGACTCCTGTGGGTTGTTCTCGTATTTTAGAATTCTTAATGTCCGAGAAAGTTTGTTTACACATTCGATTGTATTTTTTGACAACACAGTATCTGTGAGAATCAGCTCCTGGAGTGGATGATCTGTGACAATGTTCATTTCTGTGTCCTTGACAATGCATCTTGACAGATCAATTCGAGTCAGCCTGGTAGAAGAAGTGTCTCTGAATAAGTTTATCCATTTTAAATCCAATATGCCATCCTTTTGAAGAGCTGTCACAAGTCTGTCGACCACCCCAGGAAGAATGTCCACTCCAGGTTTGATGGATAATTTTCCATCTGGATCTTCAACACAGAAAGTTTCTTGGTTCTGGGCACACACATTGAGACATATATTCTCTAATGTGTCCGGCTTGTTATCCGGCCAAGCATTAGTCATGCTTGCTCAGGCAGAACACACCCCTGGAAATTAGAAAACAAACTTTATGTCTCGTGTCTTATTTATCAATACCTATTAGTATGCTGTCTCGTGTACTGCCCTCCAATAGGTTACTGGTATATATAGTAACCTGTAGGAAGATCAACAGACACACACCCAGAACACTGACATTTGTTAGCAAGAAAATGTCTAGAAATGAATGAGCTGAGGAGATGGAAAACCTGTAAGCAACTAACCAACCCAAGATCAGCATTACACTGTACACTACCAGTCCCTGTGTGTTCAACCTACCAAAACCATTCTTTATTTTCAAGATAGATTATGACTCAAGACAGAGCCAACATTTGTCTCACATTATTTTAGTAATACATACATGTACATTTTCATACTTTACCTCTTACCAAATAATTACAATAAGTAATGACAACAAAATGTAAACAATAAAATAACTTCTTAAGAATCTCTACAATATAGAACAGGAGTAGAGATGAATAGTAGTTTCCACAGACAGTGTATGGTGTTTTTTACTTCACTGATACTATCAGTAAAGCCCATGGAATAGTTATCATAAAATACTTAAGTCACCATGCCATATCAAATTAATTTGTTTTCTAGTTAAATTAATCAAACAAGATCAATGATCCCACACTATACCTGATATGATAGAAGATTTAAGCTCATGTCATAAAAATATTATAAGACAAGTTAAGTTTAATTTCATATCCATATGAAATGAACACAAGTTTAAGATTTTATTGATAAAATAACTAATTGTCAGTCTACAGAAAATACAGGAAAATCTTTATTTGTTTCTGTACATTAAGTCCATGATTTACTACATGTATTTTCATTTGGTAATGTTTTGCACTCTTGCTACTCTTGGTTTTTTTCATATTATGCATTCTAATATGCAATTAACATCTAGTAAACCTTATGAATTCTGTTCTCAATACACTTTTGCAATTACTTTTGGTAATTTTCATAATGCTGATATGTGATATTCAATTCTTAACAGTAAGTCATATATAGCTGTGATTCATAAGATACATTGCAGTGGATACATTGTGAAATTGCTTTATTTCTAAATGAATAAATAAAATTATTTATACAGTACTTATCATCAAAGTGTATCATTGTACATTTGCCTTATTTTCACACGAACAAATAACATTATAAAAAATTGCACTCGTTGTAAAAGCGTATCAATGGCCAATGACTTTCATGACAATATCTGACATTGAGATAGGTTGCTGAACCCAGTTATATGCGCATCATTGACGTAACATTCATATCTGGCTATATTTTGACAGCAGTGTTACATAGCAATATATCCATGTTTACCTCCAGTGACAGCCTTTGTAACCATTAGTCTATGTTAACCCATGACTAACAGCTAGTGTGATATATTGAGAACAGTGAGACATATTTTTGCAAAAGTATTTGGTAAAATACTTATCTGACATTGAAATGTATTAAACGTTCGACAGACATTAAGTACAAATGAATTATTACCCGTTGTTATTTTCCCCGTTTCCCAAAATGACTCAGTTTTTGGAAACAGTTAAATTATTTCTTAATATGAATGGCATCTGCATTATTAAAGATTAATAAAAATTTCATGATACGCTTCAAAATCAGGTATGTATCAACCAGTGGCACCGGCAATGGTGTCAAGCTGTCAGTGGTAGTAGTATATCAGTTATCGCCCTTTTCGAAATCGTGAAAAGAGAGATAGTGGAATTATTGTGAGCAAATTAACGGGATCGTTTGATCAATAATAGTTTACCGAATAACATATAATAATAAAGTGCGTAAAACACCTTCGTCTTCAAAGTTCAACAACGAACCGGAAGAAATCTTGTTGTGTCCGAAAACGGAAATGACCTGGTCCTTACTAAATACAGGAACTGGCCTGAAACGGATGCGCGAGTTTCTGTCTGTACAGACCGGATATTCTGTCTATAAACAGTGACGAGATTACCTATTGACACTGAAATGCAGTTGGGTTGAGTGCAAATCAATTTTCAAAAAGACAAATGAAAACAAAAAGAAAATATAAATGAAAGCAGAATAATAAACGGAAAAATTTAACTTGATTTTCAGTTTCGTTTGGATTATAATTGACCAACCATTTCATCGATTGTTCATGGACTTTTCAATATCATAATTTAAAAAGTCTGCACTCTTCCACAGGTGCAAATGATAGCATAAACAGAAGTGTCTCCTGTAAATAACTCATTATTATAATTTAATATCTGTTTATAATGTCATTAATGAATATGAGAAAGAAATGAGCACCAAGTACGAAACCACGTGGGACAATATCATCAATGTTAGACCAATTTTTGTTGTTTTTTTCATTAACAACATTTCTTTGTTTCCTGTTATAAAGAAAATCTCTATACACAGAAGTACAGAATCGCGAATACCAAAGGATACAATAGTTCAACAATTACAATAATGAATTTTTAATATTAGGTGTGAAGTTAGAAAGAACCGGGACGATAATACTCACTCCTTTATATTTCCTGGAAATTATAAAACCTTAGCGTGTCTATTAGCAATTTGACAACAAATAAATTTACAACTAACAAAAAAATTAATAAATAAAAGGCAAAGTACAATCATCAGTTCATGATGATAAGAAAATGACAATTAAGTAGGTATATCGTAAAATGTAAATGGATGTTTTATATAATCTCGGCCAAAATTAAAACACTATTCACAAACACCAGAGAGAGGTTGATGTTTCATAATGGTACGTGTCATGTAAGATTTCTACGTTAGCATTAGTCTATGAACTTTCTGTTATTTCATATGTAAAGGAGGATAAAAGGACGAATATCAATTTCCGCCCAACATTATAAAATACTTGGGTGTGACTAGATACATTTATGTATGAATTATACATCTTTCAGTATGTTAATACACAGAAAACCTAACCATCTAAAATATCTGGTACGACATGAAACACGACATCAACCCTCAATTTCCCGAATAACTTTACGCACATTCATATTCAGTGCGGTTGTTAAAAAAAGGTACCTTAAAATTAAATAAATTTCAAACTGTAAAATAAATAAAGGATTTACTAATTGATAGTATTGTAAAATAGTACAAGGCGTGGTTTAATAAGTCAATGGGCCTTAGCCGGTAAGAGCGTTGGTGCACGTAACGTCGGTCAGATCCGACAAGGACCGTGGTTCGACACTCCCTAACCGTGGTAGTGTGGTGTGTTTCTCGTGAAATTGTGAAACGGTCCGGTCTGTGACGTAGAAGTGCCCTTCAGCAAAACAAATACCAGAATAGCATGTAACGGGTCTCCCGTATGTTGTTCGGTGAGGTAGCCCTATCTACTTCAAGGAGCCTCAAGTTTCTAATTAAAAGTCTGTTTATTGCTATCCATCGCTGCTCTAAAAATACAAAACTTCAATTCGAATATCGACTGAAAGCTTATAGTATTTAGATATCCCTTTTTAATGCCAGTACAAGTCTCCTCCTTATTTAAAATTCACTCCTCCTGGACATTAGAGTAAGTCAATCAGCTCGTATTCAATGTCCACAGGTAGACAAAGTTTCCCACACAAACTTTTAAACTGTACTTCTTTCCAGATTAGCTCGACATTTACATTTTATTAAATGCTGACAATGAATTGAAGTATCATTTACTCCAAGCAGGCCATTATACGTCACGTGACCTGGTACTACGCCTAGTAATAGATTTCCGCGCTTTTATACCAGGAAAATTCATTTGACTGGAAAGAAAATTTTGGTCGTTCTGCATTTGATGTTAGCAAATTATTGCTGGCATACAAGCAAAATTAAAAAATTGGAAACACACTCCTTTCCAGAAATCGATAAAAAGGTAATTGATTACACAAAATTTAACTTATGAACTTCTGAAAACATTAATGGTACAAACACTTATTTACGAGTTTAAATACTGTAAATACTTATAATATTTTACAAGGATTAAGTAAAGCATGATACTGGCACTCCGTCTAGATAATTAAGGAAATCAGAGGTACCCAATGATCTAAAGGATCACACTACTTCACATTTGTCTGTATTTGGCCTACTAAGATATCAGCACAGACTTTAAGATCATATTATATTCATATCATTGCAGCCCAAATATCAATTCATAAAAATAACGAGAAAAATCCGATAAGTGCTGAATAAGGAGAAACAATCATTTATATGAAAAGTACAAAGAGAAAAATAAGAAAATACACGAGACAAAGAGGTATAAACGATATTTTGTACGATAGAAGAGAGGTGGATAAGCACAGCATCGTTCATATACACAGCATCCATTCACGTAATTGTTTCATCGTATCTCTGCAGTCGATACTCTGAATACAGGGACAAATAGGGACCAGGTGAAATGTAATATTACCGACACAAAATATATCACATATATGGCCTAAATAGTTGTTATTGTCAAGAAGATTTAAAATAAACGGTTACCTGTCAAATAAGGAAACTTGTTATAGTGAAATGTGCGACGCCTGATAAATTAGCAATTAGATACAAACATTATTTCAAAACTATTATTTGTTGGAAAGTATTTAGGTACACAACAGCAAACCTTACAACATATTATGACATTGTTGTATGGTTTGTATGATTACATGACAGGAGAAAGTTTTCGTGATATGAAGATTAGATAACATGGCCATATGTACAGGAACAGTAAGAAAAACGTGATAAAATCTAGCAGGGAATGTACATAAGATGCAATAGAATCCTAAGGAGTCGTATACATCCCCTCTCTGTCTGTCTCTATGGTCCATACTAACTATACGTAGGAGTGTCATCTCCGGTATTACCATTACAATGCGTTATCATGCGGACATTCCAGCCAGTGAACTATCACTACGTTGGAAACGTGAAAATAAAACGTAGTGACCTTATGTTTTCACTTTTTCATTATTAAAGTTTAAGTATTTAAAGTTATTTTCTTATCTAAATATAATTATTTTTATCTTTATTTCTTTCGAAATATACTAAATATATGTACATTTGTCGTCTTCATGCCAAGCTAACAATGCTTTGTGTAATAGCTGAAAACAAATATTTCATGGAACTATGTCATTCACTCGTTTTCCGCCTTCCCATTAACTATTGGTTTTCTTGTACAAACTGTCATAAGTTTTAATCAATTTATAAATGTTCATCATTATTAATCTAGCAACTTATGAAGATATTAGCGGTTTTGATGAAACTCGTGCAAGAATATCATCAATAGATTGATAAAAAGTTGAAATCATATTTTATAAATTTGCAACTGTGAATAATGCAACAAAATTATACTATAGAGAAGTAAATGATAAATGTTTTAGAACCTGTTGACCAGTTTCAGTCATCACGGTTGAGTGAACAGCATTTTTAGCAGCTATAAATATTTTCTCCTACTGAATACATATTGACTCCCGGGCGTGCCTCAGAGGTCGTACACAAATCATCAAGTTTCGTTCAATTCTGAAAACAAAAATATCAAATTAACATATTTCAGGGATTGAAAAAATGGATTATGGATAATTCTGTTGACGACTTCGTTTCGCGGAGGAAAACAAAAGTTTTCAAGTTTTCGAGAACACAGCACATTTTGTTATTTAGAATGGTACGCCAAACTGTTCCGTGCGGAAGTGTTGGTTAATTAATACATTTCAAAGTTAATGTGAGAAAAAAAGTAATCTATAAAATTTGTGTTATTCAAAGTGACTTGATCTGGAATGAACAAACAATTGATGTTCTGTGAGAAACCAAACAGCTGGATCGTCTGTAAGGAGGTTCATATTTGTAATTAGTTGTCAAGGCAAGTATATACAAAATATGGTGTAAATACGCTCTGTCCTTAAAAAGGTTTAATCTGAAAACTATCTACATGAATATATACATCTATATAGATAGAAAACTTACTTATAAAACTCACAGGGAATATTCAGTCGTCTCAATCTTCACGTTAAGGTTCCATGGCGATTTTTTTTCATTTCCCATGACAAGTAAAATGACCAAATAAGGTATGCTTTGTTTTCATATCAAAACGTGCTTACATATTTATGATATAGGTATTGGAACACGTCCAAATGAAACTGACTTTTCATAAGCGTTCAAACGTTAGTATTTTAAGTTTGTTTTGTGATCTTGAGCATAAATCGTATATTTGATAGAAAGCGGTGTAAAACTGTTCTTGACCTTTTTATTATGCTTACATGATACGAAATGCCAAATGAATTGAATGTAGAGTTATTATACGTTATTATACGACGTTATATCATATACTTAATTGTCGTTCTGTCGTAAACTCGGATGTCTGTTTAGCATACTTAATATTTTAGTATTGTTAATATCAATAAACTGAATTCGCTTGGCCAAAGAACTTACATCTACGTCAACTGACCATTTCATTGTATATTGTCAACGAAAAACTTTAAAAGAGATTTTAAAAAAACAAGTAAATGAAGCAACCAAATTTGTCCAAAAGTCTAAAGCGACCCACCGACGTTTGGGTCCGTGTGACTTTTGTTATAGATAAAACGCCAGGAGGCTAGTCACACAGTTTGTGTGGAGAGATCTGTAAGGATGTGATGGACTTGTGTAGTAAAATGTACATAACTGGCCCTGTTCCTTAGTTGATTATAGAGTGACATTTAGTAAAAGGATCGTAAAATATCGGGAACAGACATTCGTGAGATAGAGAGACGAATACATTCATGGTCACGCCCATACAGTGCACTGGTTACCGAGATCATTTTATACTTAGGCTGTTTTTTTAAATCTTTTGTTGTATCTCTTCTGGCGAGTGCCAACTCTGTCATCGACCTTTTTATACCTATGGCTTACGGTTTGTAAATGATCAGAAGGAAATCTAGTTTAGAAAATCTGAGAAAAATATATAACATAATCAAACAACCAAGGCGGGTCAGAGGATGTTGTTGTCGAAAATATTTTCTGGGAAAAAATATTATCGAAGTATAGGTAAAGAGAGTAGAATTATGTGTTAGAAGACGCTAAGATGAACTTAATAACGACAATGGGAAAGTGTATGGCCATCTTTATTTTTCAATTGTGAAGATATAAAGATTTTATATTCTAGACATTTTCACCGCGGCCTCAAGTTTAAATATTTAAGATTAAGACTGGCGGTTTGTCTCTTCGCCGGTGCAGAAACCTGTTCCAACTTTCTTGTACCTTTTAAATTTTTCTCAGTGTAACTTTCTCTTTTCACATATAACACCTTTTTTCGACTTTGGGTAAGCATTACTGTTCCTCCTCAGTATTTTGTTGGTGGCTGTGTTCTATTGACGACACCTGTGATTTAAACTATCGTATAGGGCTGTAAGGACGATGGCGTCTATTAAACTAGCTCATACAGTAATCAATTTCACTGTTTTGGAAAAAAGGAAGATGCAGGAAAGTTAACAAATCTTAATTCGTGCTAAAAAACTAAATAAAGATCTACATGGAGAATCAAGTGAGTTCCAAGGACGTAATATGACCAAGTGTTTCGGAAGAGTAAGCGTCCTTTACTTTATAAACGCCACCAGCCATGTTAATCTCGATCAATCCAGGTAATGTCACAATCTCAAAACGAGGTGCGGGCAAACTATATAGCTTCTTATCGCAATTAAGTTCGCCTGCCAGCTATTACACTTGTTACTGAACACTTTTGCAGTGTAGACTAACTACACTGACTTCATAAATTAATTCAGCAAGATGGGATGTATCTGCTATAGAAAAGCTACTAAAACGCACAGAGGACCACAGAAACAAAAGGAAGAGATGTCATTTTTCTATAAAATGTACTGTTTACTGATCGAATGAAGTTAAAGGTTGTGCAATAATATACTTGTGTACAAGACAGTGTATGGTATCAATTTGACCATTTGTTTCACAATTAAATCAAAGTAGGCAAATTATAGTTGTGCGGCAGGCAATATTTCAAACGCTAAGCTCATTTCTTTTAGTAATACTTAATACATATCTAAATTGAATTCCAATCATTAGCTATAATTAGTTGCTGCAAATATGAAAAATAATATAAAAACATTTCCAACACAATACCTTCTTTTGTTTAAATGTTTCAGATTCCGTATAGAATCGGTTCAAAGATTTGTTTTCTTAAGTCATTCCTCTTTCTGTAATTGTTTTCCAATGACAAATTTCCTTATCAACGATGTAGTCGTTCAGCTAACAGTAAAATGGAAAAGTTTATAGATTGGATTGTTTAACAGTCTTAAACAATGTACAGGCTCAGTATACATACGTGAACGACATGACCTTTAAAGCAGATAAGCATGAACAGGCTAGTGTCTTTTCTGTAATATTGGTAAGGTATATGATAGTATTTGGCTTATATGCTTCACGAGTTTACATATATACTTTAAGATCATTAGATTTCGAGGTAGTTTTAATTTTGTTGAATCCACGAATTTATATATCTATAAAATGATAAACACATAAGAATTGTCACGAATGGAAGGACTAGAGGGGAGATCTATTTACAAAGTAATGTCTCAACGAAAATGCATATTTTAAAAAACCGCGAAATTTGTGTCCAAAAATATATGATTACACAGTATATAGTATCTAGCTTTCATTTCATTTACGTTGATAATTAGATACAGGTAGTAGTGTGTGGTCTTAAAATCTAAAAGTGAAACACTGATGTCATGGTTACTACAAAGGTTAGTTTAAAACCTATCAGCTTTCCGCTGATTTCGGTGATGGTGTGTATTAAAGGTAAAACGTAAATGGAGTTCCCAATTTAGTACAAGCGGTTGCTTATAACGTATTTCTGAAACAGGTCTAGTGTTTTGATCCAAGGTCCACTGTTGGCGGTATATCAGTTTTTAAACGGAACTGAGGTCAGCTTCACAGTTCCGTTTTTCTAAAGTGAAGCTAGGGTCTGGTCCCTAGATTAATTTTTTTAAAAACGGAATTGGGGTTTGATTTCAAGTTCCGTTTTTCTTGAACGAAACTAGGAATCAATGTATGGCTTCCTAAAACATTAACTTTCTGTAGACGACATATCGTTGTAGACACCCATTGTTATACTGGTGGACGACTGAAGAAGAAAAAAACAGTTAGGATGAAATTAAAAAAACTATTTTCATTTATTTTTATCCTCAAGGCGATTATTTGTTATTTTTAGATATCAAAGTTATACGCGTCTTATAACCTATATGAACAAACAATTAAAAAAACCCCAGAGAAGTTCGCTACGGCATCAGTCTACATCAGTCAGAACATTGTCACCCAAACTGCAGATTTCCCGTCGAAATTACGTACGTCGAAAACCCAAAAGTGTCATAGGCAAAAGAATATATTTATATGAGAAATGAGACACAGAACAAGTGGAGTAAGAAAGAAACAATGCTGAATCCGAATGCCATCTCCCAAAATATGTCGCTTCGCCAGTAAATTAACACATGGGTTCCGTTAATTTTAAAAATGTTCTTTGCCGTTTAGATTTGCAGGTGTTACCAATCACTTTGACGCCATGAGGAGTCTTGGGCTGCTTCTTTTGTTTCCGTGTACCTTCCTCATTGTTCGAGCGAAGCCAACTACGCATTCCATGGGTGACATGAAGCCTCAAACTCTCGCTACATCAACGACAGACGAAACAACGCATGGTTCTGCAACACATCCTATGGGTGGAATGATGCACCAGAATCTCGCAACGACATCAAAAACTGATACCACAAAACCTGACACCGGTCCAACAACACATTCAATGGGTGGCATGATGCCTCAAACTCTCGCTACATCAACGACAGACGAAACAACGCATGGTTCTGCAACACATCCTATGGGTGAAATGATGCCGCAGAGTCTCGCAACAACATCAAAGACTGATACCACAAAACCCGACACCGGTCCAACAACACATTCAATAGGTGGCATGATGCCTCAAACTCTCGCTACATCAACGACAGACGAAACAACGCATGGTTCTGCAACACATCCTATGGGTGAAATGATGCCGCAGAGTCTCGCAACAACATCAAAGACTGATACCACAAAACCCGACACCGGTCCAACAACACATTCAATGGGTGGCATGATGCCTCAAACTCTCGCTACATCAACGACAGACGAAACAACGCATGGTTCTGCAACACATCCTATGGGTGAAATGATGCCGCAGAGTCTCGCAACAACATCAAAAACTGATACCACAAAACCTGACATTGGTCCAACAACGCATTTAATGGGTGGCATGATGCCTCAAACTCTCGCTACATCAACGACAGACGAAACAACGCATGGTTCTGCAACACATCCTATGGGTGGAATGATGCCCCAGAATCTCGCAACAACATCAAAAACTGATACCACAAAACCCGACACCGGTCCAACAACACATTCAATGGGTGGCATGATGCCTCAAACTCTCGTTACATCAACGACAGACAAAACAACGCATGGTTCTGCAACACATCCAATGGGTGGAATGATGCCCCAGAATCTCGCAACAACATCAAAAACTGATACCACAAAACCTGACATTGGTCTAACAATACATTCAATGGGTGGCATGATGCCTCAAACTCTTGCTACATCAACGACAGACGAAATAACGCATGGTTCTGCAACACATTCCATGGGTGGCATAATGCTTCTAACTCTCGCTACATCAACGACAGACGAAACAACGCGTGGTTCTGCAACACATCTTATGGATGGAATGATGCCACAGAATATCGCATCGACATCAACAACAGATGCCTCAACGCATGGCATCGGTCGAACAACACATTCAATGGGTGGCATGATGCCTCAAACTCTTGCTACATTAACCACAGACGAAACAACGCATGGTTCTGCAACACATTCCATGGGTGGCATGATGCCTCAAACTCTCGCTTCATCAACGACAGACGAAACAACGCATGGTTCTACGACACATTCTATGGGTGGCATGATGCCTCAAACACTCGCTACATTAACGACAGATGAAACAACGCATGGTCCAACAACACATTCAATGGGTGGCATGATGCCTCAAACTCTCGCTACATCAACGACAGACGAAACAACGCATGGTTCTGCAACACATCCTATGGGTGAAATGATGCCGCAGAGTCTCGCAACAACATCAAAAACTGATACCACAATACCTGCCATTGGTCCAACAACACATTCAATGGGTGGCATGATGCCTCAAACTCTCGCTACATCAACGACAGACGAAACAACGCATGGTTCTGCAACACATCCTATGGGTGAAATGATGCCGCAGAGTCTCGCAACAACATCAAAAACTGATACCACAATACCTGCCATTGGTCCAACAACACATTCAATAGGTGGCATGATGCCTCAAACTCTCGCTACATCAACGACAGACGAAACAACGCATGGTTCTGCAACACATCCTATGGGTGAAATGATGCCCCAGAATCTCGCAACGACATCAAAAACTGATACCACAAAACCTGACATTGGTCTAACAATACATTCAATGGGTGGCATGATGCCTCAAACTCTCGCTACATCAACGACAGACGAAACAACGCATGGTTCTGCAACACATCCTATGGGTGAAATGATGCCTCAAACACTCGCTACATTAACGACAGATGAAACAACGCATGGTCCAACAACACATTCAATGGGTGGCATGATGCCTCAAACTCTCGCTACATCAACGACAGACGAAACAACGCATGGTTCTGCAACACATCCTATGGGTGAAATGATGCCGCAGAGTCTCGCAACAACATCAAAAACTGATACCACAATACCTGCCATTGGTCCAACAACACATTCAATGGGTGGCATGATGCCTCAAACTCTCGCTACATCAACGACAGACGAAACAACGCATGGTTCTGCAACACATCCTATGGGTGAAATGATGCCGCAGAGTCTCGCAACAACATCAAAAACTGATACCACAATACCTGCCATTGGTCCAACAACACATTCAATAGGTGGCATGATGCCTCAAACTCTCGCTACATCAACGACAGACGAAACAACGCATGGTTCTGCAACACATCCTATGGGTGAAATGATGCCCCAGAATCTCGCAACGACATCAAAAACTGATACCACAAAACTCGACACCGGTCCAACAACACATTCAATGGGTGGCATGATGCCTCAAACTCTCGCTACATCAACGACAGACGAAACAACGCATGGTTCTGCAACACATCCTATGGGTGAAATGATGCCGCAGAGTCTCGCAACAACATCAAAGACTGATACCACAAAACCCGACACCGGTCCAACAACACATTCAATGGGTGGCATGATGCCTCAAACTCTCGCTACATCAACAACAGACGAAACAACGCATGGTTCTGCAACACATCCTATGGGTGGAATGATGCCCCAGAATCTCGCAACGACATCAAAAACTGATACCACAAAACTCGACACCGGTCCAACAACACATTCAATGGGTGGCATGATGCCTCAAACTCTCGCTACATCAACGACAGACGAAACAACGCATGGTTCTGCAACACATCCTATGGGTGAAATGATGCCGCAGAGTCTCGCAACAACATCAAAAACTGATACCACAATACCTGCCATTGGTCCAACAACACATTCAATGGGTGGCATGATGCCTCAAACTCTCGCTACATCAACGACAGACGAAACAACGCATGGTTCTGCAACACATCCTATGGGTGAAATGATGCCGCAGAGTCTCGCAACAACATCAAAGACTGATACCACAAAACCCGACACCGGTCCAACAACACATTCAATGGGTGGCATGAAGCCTCAAACTCTCGCTACATCAACGACAGACGAAACAACGCATGGTTCTGCAACACATCCTATGGGTGAAATGATGCCGCAGAGTCTCGCAACAACATCAAAAACTGATACCACAATACCTGCCATTGGTCCAACAACACATTCAATGGGTGGCATGATGCCTCAAACTCTCGCTACATCAACGACAGACGAAACAACGCATGGTTCTGCAACACATCCTATGGGTGAAATGATGCCGCAGAGTCTCGCAACAACATCAAAAACTGATACCACAATACCTGCCATTGGTCCAACAACACATTCAATAGGTGGCATGATGCCTCAAACTCTCGCTACATCAACGACAGACGAAACAACGCATGGTTCTGCAACACATCCTATGGGTGAAATGATGCCCCAGAATCTCGCAACGACATCAAAAACTGATACCACAAAACTCGACACCGGTCCAACAACACATTCAATGGGTGGCATGATGCCTCAAACTCTCGCTACATCAACGACAGACGAAACAACGCATGGTTCTGCAACTCATCCTATGGGTGAAATGATGCCGCAGAGTCTCGCAACAACATCAAAGACTGATACCACAAAACCTGACACCGGTCCAACAACACATTCAATGGGTGGCATGATGCCTCAAACTCTCGCTACATCAACAACAGACGAAACAACGCATGGTTCTGCAACACATCCTATGGGTGGAATGATGCCCCAGAATCTCGCAACGACATCAAAAACTGATACCACAAAACTCGACACCGGTCCAACAACACATTCAATGGGTGGCATGATGCCTCAAACTCTCGCTACATCAACGACAGACGAAACAACGCATGGTTCTGCAACACATCCTATGGGTGGAATGATGCCGCAAAGTCTCGCAACGACATCAAAAACTGATACCACAAAACCTGACATTGGTCCAACAACGCATTCCATAGGTGGTATGATGACTCAAACTCTCGCGACGACATCATCAACTCATCCCACAAGACCTGACATCGGTCCAACTACACGTTCCATAGGTGGTATGATGACTCAAACTCTCGCGACGACATCATCAACTCATCCCACAACGCCTGACCTCGGTCCAACAACACATTCAGTAGATGGCATGAACTCTCAAACGATACGTCATAATCTCGCAGTGACATCATCAATTGATACCACAACACCTGATTTCGGTCCAACTATGCATTCATTGGGTGGCATGGTGCCTAAATCTATCGCGACATCAACAGCTGACGCTACAACACTTGACATCGGTTCAACAACACATTCAATGGGTGGAATGATGCCTCAGAATCTCGCATCGACACCAACAACGGATGCCGAAAGGCATGTCACCGGTCGAACAACACATTCAATGAGTGGCATGATGCCTCAAACTCTCGCTACATTAACCACAGACGAAACAACGCATGGTTCTCCAACACATTCCATGGGTGGCATGATGCCTCAAACTCTCGCTACATTAACCACAGACGAAACAACGCATGGTTCTCCAACACATTCCATGGGTGGCATGATGCCTCAAACTCTCGCTACATTAACGACAGACGAAACAACACATGGTCCAACAACACATTCAATGGGTGGCATAATGCCTCAAAATCTCGCTACATCAACGACAGGCGAAACAACGCGTGGTTCTGCAACACATTCTATGGGTGGAATGATGCCTCAGAAGCTCGCATCAACACCAACAACGGATGCCAAAAGGCATGACACCGGTCCAACAACATATTCAATGGGTGGCATGATGCCTCAAACTCTCGCTTCATCAACGACAGACGAAACAATGCGTGGTTCTGCAACACATTCCATGGGTGGAATAATGCAGCAGAATCTCGCAACCACATCACAAATTGATGCCACAAAGTCTGACATAGGTCCAACAACACATTCAATGGGTGGCATGATACCTCAAACTCACGCTACATCAACGACAGGCGAAACAACGCATGGTTCTGCAACACATTCTATGGGTGGAATGATGCCACAGAATCTCGCAACGACATCAACAACTGATACCACAAAATCTGACATAGGACCAACTACACATTCAATGGATAGAATGATACCTCAACCTATCGCAACATCAACAACAGACGAAACAACGTATGGTCCAACAACACAATCCATGGGAGGCATGCTGCCTCCAACTCCCGCTACTACATCAACAGCAGATGCTACATCACCTAACATCGGTCCACAAACACATTCCATTGAATCTACAACCTCTACTGAAGATATGCCTGCTACCAATGAAGAGCCATTAGCTGCTACCGGTTCTTCATTACTCACCAAAGACACTTCATTACCGACAACTGAACCTTCATCATTCACCAATGAAGGTACGTCATCCTCATCTATCAATGAAACTTCATTATCTACAAATGAAGTCACGTTTACCGATGACGCTTCATTATCTACCATCACCGTTACTTCGACTAGCAATGAAGATTCTTCAACCGATGTCTCTTCATCTTTAACATCTGATTCATCATCTACAAATGAAGACATCACATTAGATTCTGCTAATTTTTCAACCTACTCCACAATTTCTAAAATGCATGACACAACCTCTAATACAGTGGGATCTACACATTCCATGTTTAGCATGATGTCTCCAACTACCACCACTGCACATTCGATGGGCGGCTTGCTATTTTCGCCAACCATTGATGCCAAAACTTCTTCCATGACAGCGGCTGCACATCCAATGAAAAACATGATGCCACTGACTCAAGGTGAGATGTCAACATTAGATAACAGGCCTGAAGCTGCAGTATTTCTGTCTGCTACTGGAGCTATATCTACCTCTGAAGTTTTAACAACCGCAAGCGCTACATTATCTGCCCCTGATTCTACCTATACAACTGCTTCGACATACGCAACTGCAGTAACTTCTGCCAATACCATTGATGTACCAACTTCCACGACTAATGTCTCAACATCTAAGTCTGACGTCCCTACATCCATCACTGATGTCTCTAACACAAATTTCTCAACATCACTCACAAATGTCTCAACATCGACCAGTGATGTCGCCATACCGACCACAGATATTTCCGAATCGACAACAAATGTCTTTACATCAACCCCTTATGTCACCACATCGACCGCTGATAACATCACATCGACCGGTGATGTCACCACATCCACTACATATGTCTCCACTTCGACCGATGATGTCACCACATCTACCACAGATGTCTCCACATCGACCCCTGCTGGCTCCATATCATCCAACGATATCACCGCATCGACCACTGATATCTCCACACCGATGACTGATATCTCAACATCGACCTCAGATATCTCTAAATCTACCGATGATGTCACCACATCGACCACTGATGTCTCCACATCTACCGTTGATGTCACTAGAATTACCACTGATTTATCCATATCGAAAGCCCCTGTCACCACATCCATCACAGATGTCTCCACATCGACCACTGATATCTCCACACCGATGACTGATATCTCAACATCGACCTCAGATATCTCCAAATCTACCGCTGTTGTCACCACATCGACCACTGATGTCACCACATCGACCACTGATGTCTCCACATCTACCGTTGATGTCACTAGAATTACCACTGATTTATCGACATCAAAAGCCCCTGTCACCACATCTACCAAAGATGTCTCCACATCGACCACTAATATATCCACATCGACCGACGATGTCACCACATCTACCACAGATGTCTCCACATCGACCACTGATCTATCCACATCGACCGTTGATGTCACCACATCTACCACTGATGTCTCCACATCGACCACTGATGTATCCACATCTACCACTGATGTCTCCACATCGACCACTGATGTATCCACATCTACCACTGATGTCTCCACATCGACCACTGATGTATCCACATCTACCGTTGATGTAATTAGAATTACCACTGATTTATCCACATCGAAAGCCCCTGTCACCACATCTACCAAAGATGTCTCCACATTAACCACTGATGTCTCTACATCGACCACTGATGTGCCAACATCTACCACAGATGTCTCCACATCGACCACTAATATATCCACATCGACCGGTTATGTCACCACATCTACCACTGATGTATCCCCATCTACCACTGATGTGTCCAAATCTACCGCTGATATCACCACATCGACCACTGATGTTTCCACATCTACCACTGATGTCTCCACATCGACCACTAATATATCCACATCGACCGGTGATGTCACCACATCTACCACTGATATATCCACATCTACAACTGATGTCTCCACATCGACCACTGATGTATCCACATCTACAACTGATGTCTCCAAATCTACCGGTGATGTCACCACATCGAGCAGTGATGTATCCACATCGACCACTGACTTCACCACATCTACCGTTGATGTCACCACATCGACCACTGATGTCTCCACATCGACCACTGATGTCACTACATCGACTACTGATGTGTCCACATCTATAACTGTTGTACCTGCTTCGACCACCGATGTCTCTACATCTATCACTTATGTTTCCAGAACATCTACAACTCAGTCACTGTCATCAACCTCTGAGGCAGCAACATCTACAACTCAGTCACCGACGTCAACATCTGAAGCAGCAACATCTACCACTCAGTCACCGACGTCAACTTCTGAGGCAGCAACATCTACAACTCAGTCACCGACGTCAAATTTCGAGGCAGCAACATCTACAATTCAGTCACCGACGACAAGTTCTGAGGCAACAACATCTACAACAAAATCAGCGTCGTCAACATCTGAGGCAGCAACATCTACAACTCTGTCACCGACGTCAAATTTCGAGGCAGCAACATCTACAATTCAGTCACCGACGACAACTTCTGAAGCAGCAACATCTACAACTCTGTCACCAACGTCAACGTCTAAGACAACAACATCTACAACTCAGTCACCGACGTCAACATCTGAGGCAGCAACATCTACAACTCATTCACCGACGTCAACTTTTGAGACAGCAACATCTACAACTCAGTCACCGACGTCAACTTCTGAAGCAGCAACATCTACAACTCAGTCACCGACGTCAACTTCTGAGGCAGCAACATCTACCACTCAGTCACCGACGTCAACTTCTGAAGCAGCAACATCTACAACTCAGTCACCGACGTCAACATCTGAGGCAGCAACATCTACCACTCAGTCACCGACGTCAACTTCTGAAGCAGCAACATCTACCATCCAGTCTTCGACGTCAACATCTGAGGCAGCAACATCTACCATTCAATCACCGACGTCAACATCTGAGGCAGCAACATCTACCACTCTGTCACCAACGTCAACATCTGAGGCAGCAACATCTACCATTCAATCACCGACGTCAACATCTGAGGCAGCAACATCTACCACTGAAGCAGCAACATCTACAACTCAGTCACTGACGTCAACTTCTGAAGCAGCAACATCTACAATTCAGTTACCAACATCAACTTCTGAACAACTCAGTTCTCTGAGGCATCTACAACTCATTCAGCGACTGTCAACATCTGAGGCAGCAACATCTACCACTCAGTCAGCGACGTCAACATCTGAAGCAGCAACATCTACAACTCAGTCAGTCACCTGAACGTCAACTTCTGTCAACATCTGAGGCAGCAAATCTACCACTCAGTCACCGACATCAACATCTCACTCAGTCACCGACGTCAACATCTGAAACAGCAACATCTACCACTCAGTCAGCGACGTCAACTTCTGAAGCAGCAACATCTACAACTCAGTCACCGACGTCAACTTCTGAAGCAGCAACATCTACCACTCAGTCACCGACGTCAACTTCTGAAGCAGCAACATCTACCACTCAGTCACCGACGTCAACTTCTGAAGCTGCAACATCTACCACTCATTCACCGACGTCAACATCTGAGGCAGCAATATCTACCACTCAGTCACCGACGTCAGCTTCTGAAGCAGCAACATCTACCACTCAGTCACCGACGTCAACTTCTGAAGCAGCAACATCTACCACTCAGTCACCGACGTCAACTTCTGAGGCAGCAACATCTACCACTCAGTCACCGACGTCAACATCTGAAGCAGCAACATCTACAACTCAGTCACCGACGTCAACTTCTGTAGCAGCAACATCTACCACTCAGTCACCGACGTCAACATCTGAGGCAGCAACATCTACCACTCAGTCACCGACGTCAACATCTGAAGCAGCAACATCTTCAACTCAGTCACCAACGTCAACTTCTGAGGCAGTAACTTCTACCACTCAGTCACCGACATCAACTTCTGAATCACCAACATCTACCACTCAGTCACCGACGTCAACTTCTGAAGCAGCAACATCTACCATCCAGTCTTCGACGTCAACATCTGAGGCAGCAACATCTACAACTCAGTCACCGACGTCAACATCTGAGGCAGCAACATCTACCACTCAGTCACCGACGTCAACATCTGAGGCAGCAATATCTACCACTCAGTCACCGACGTCAGCTTATGAAGCAGCAACATCTACCATCCAGTCTTCGACGTCAACATCTGAGGCAGCAACATCTACAACTCAGTCACCGACGTCAACATCTGAAGCAGCAACATCTACCAACCAGTCTTCGACGGCGACGTCAACATATGAGGCAGCAACATCTACAACTCAGTCACCGACGTCAACTTCTGAAGCAGCAACATCTACAACTCAGTCACCGACGTCAACTTCTGAAGCAGCAACATCTACAACTCAGTCACCGACGTCAACTTCTGAGGCAGCAACATCTACAACTCAGTCACCGACGTCAACATCTGAAACAGCAACATCTACCACTCAGTCAGCGACGTCAACTTCTGAAGCAGCAACATCTACAACTCAGTCACCGACGTCAACATCTGAGGCAGCAACATCTACAGCTCAGTCACCGACGTCAACTTCTGAAGCAGCAACATCTACCATCCAGTCACCGACGTCAACTTCTGAAGCAATTGATACCAATATGGTTCCTGTTACTCCAATTGGAGGATCCACATTCACTACACTATCAATCTCATCTGGTGAGTAGAACTTTTCTATTAATTCATAGACTATGATTATCTACGCTAGATTGACTATTCAAACGTTTCTTTCAAATGGCTATCTGTTCTGTGTACTATGAAAACGATTCCTAAATGTTCAATAAATTTCAAACTATATATTTTACTAAATTTGAAATCTTTATCATAAATTTCAACAAATAGGTATTATAACTTTATACACGTCATAAATTATTTTCATTAAACGTTATACGTTCGATAATCCACTGTTATCACAGTTATAAAATTGGCTTCAATTGAATTCAAATTAATGTTTTTAATTTGTCATTAATTGATAATCGCAATATCAACTAAAGCAGCAGCCACGCCTACATCAAAGGTTTTCACATCCATACCAACAGCCACACCTATATCGAAGGTTACCACGCCCATACCAACGGCCACACCTACATCGAAGGTTACCACGCCCATGACAACAACAAACTCTCCAATATTGTATACTTCTAAATCATCGTCATCAGGTAAGAATAAACCAGTATGTGGTTTTTTTCAGTAATGAAAATAACAACAGTACCTTTTCCCTGTATATTTTGTTAATCAAACGTGACTAATTCACACACTACTTATGATGTTCTTATGTGTTAAGTCGACTTATTTAAATACTACATATGTCTATAGGTATGTGCACATAATAATGTTATATTCACAAAGACTTTGACCTTTTCAACTCCAAATTAAGTAATAACATTGTTTCCAGTTATCATTTGGATGTTGACTAATGCATTATCACATTATACTTAACCGAAACAAGGTAATATTAACTTGTGTATAATCTCCATATAAATTTGTTGGAACAAAACTAAACAAAATTTCTACTAAATCAATTTTGCAAACAAGATCAAAATATGAAAATGCAGCATTAGTCCAGGTGTTCCAAAAGGGTAAAAGTCTTCTGCAACATCAAGGACACCCATACATATAAATCTTGATTAAAACAACAAGTAATATATCACATTCCCAAATGCAAACAAAATGATCATGAAATTTTATCCTCCAATCCTTACGTTTCTATAAGTGACCTGATAGGATGCCCTTTTACTAGAATAAATAAGTAGAGCAATAATGTTCATGGCATAGTCCGCGCAACATACGTGACATGTCATTCGAATAATTTTTCAACCTGAGTTCCCTATATAAATATAGACTCGTCTGTTATGACGTCAATGAAAGATGAATGCGACAGGTCACTCTGATCAATCTACCATAACTGTCACACCTCTAACTCTCGCGTATGTTTTATTAACCGATAAATTAATTCTAAAGTAAAAACAAGCCTTTCAAATCGATTTAAAATCATTTGAGACTAATAGTAGCTAGACCTTATTCGATGACCTTTGCTATACAAACCTGTAAACGAGTTTATTTTCATATATTATGACATTAAACTGATAAAGCTATGCTTTATGCAAATTCAGATATCAAATCTACGTCACTTGAATCGCCAACGATGTCCAAAACACATTCACCTGGTACTAATATGTCTATAACACCGGGAACTCTATCGACTTCACATCCAAAAGATGAGAAAACAAAGCAAATAGAAACGACCATTTCTTCTACAGCTACAACTGCGGCAACTACACCTCTGAAAGGAGCGGCAACACCCACATCCATGTCCAAAACACAAACATTACACGTAACGTCTACTCCAAAGTTTATAACGAGTATGTCACACACGACTTCTTCCACCACAGAGGCAGAATTGTTAACGTCACATATGACTACCGCTCCCCCAAAATTCACATCGTTCAAGTTACAAACGATGACTTCTACTCTACAGTCCACAAAGCCTACTCCACACATGACGATTTCGATAACGCAGGTCACAGCGCCGCTGTCACAAACAGCTACGTCTGCATCACAGGCCACAACGGCAACGTCACACTTGACCACGTCGACATTACAGACTACAAAGCCAACATCACCAACTACGATGTCTTCCCCGCGTTTCAAAACGACGATGTCACACATGACTGCCTCTACATCCCAGGCCCCAACGCCGTCGTCAGGCATAACTACTTCTATTACGAAAGCCACATCGCTATCGTCACACATGGCTATTAATGCCATGCAGGCCACATCGCCAACGTTGCAAACGACTATGTCTAGTACGAAATCAAAAACAACAAAAACACAAACGACTACTTCTACATTACAGGCAACACCTCCAACATCACAAACGACTAGTTCTACATCACACCTCACATCACCAACATCACAAACTACTACTTCTACATCACAGTCAACATCGCCAACATCACAAACGACTACTTCTACATCACAGTCAACATCACCAATAACACAAACGACTACTTCATCAAACGCCACATCGCCAACATCACAAACGACTACTTCTACATCACAGTCAACATCGCCAACATCACAAACGACTACTTCTACATCACAGTCAACATCGCCAACATCACAAACGACTACTTCTACATCACGGTCAACATCGCCAACATCACAAACGACTACTTTTACATCACAGGCCATGTCGCCGTCGACACACATGACTACTTCTGTACCGAAAGCCACATCGCTATCGTCACACATGGCTATTGATACCATGCAGGCTACATCGCCAATGTTGCAAACGTCTATGTCTAGTACGAAATCACATACCACAGTACCACCATCACAACCGACAACTTCTTCATCACAGGCCACATCATCAACATCACAAACGACTACTTCTACATCACGGTCAACATCGCCAACATCACACACGACTACTTCTACATCACAGACAACATCACCAATATCACAAACGACTTCTACATCAAACGCCACATCGCCAACATCACAAACGACTACTTCTACTTCACAGGCCACATCACCAACATCACAAACGACTACTTCTACTTCACATGCCAAATTACCAAGATCACAAACGACTACTTCTACTTCACAGACCCCATCATTAACATCACAAACGACTACTTCTACTTCACATGCCACATCGCCAACATCACAAACGACTACTTTTACATCACAGTCAACATCGCCAACATCACAAACGACTACTTCTACATCACGGTCAACATCGCCAACATCACAAACGACTACTTTTACATCACAGGCCATGTCGCCGTCGACACACATGACTACTTCTGTACCGAAAGCCACATCGCTATCGTCACACATGGCTATTGATACCATGCAGGCTACATCGCCAATGTTGCAAACGTCTATGTCTAGTACGAAATCACATACCACAGTGCCACCATCACAACCGACAACTTCTTCATTACAGGCCACATCATCAAAATCACAAACGACTACTTCTACATCACAGGTAACATCAACAACATCACAAACGACTTCTACATCAAACGCCACATCGCCAACATCACAAACGACTTCTTCTGCATCAGAGTCAACATCACCAACATCAAAAACGACTGCTTCTACATCACAGACCACATCAATATCACAGGTAACATCGCCATCATTGCAAACGACTTCTTCTACATCACACGCAACGTCACCAACATCACAAACGACTACTTCTACATCACAGGCCATATCACTAACATCACAAACGACTTCTACATCAAACGCCACATCGCCAACATCACAAACGACTACTTTTACTTCACAGGCCACATCATCAACATTACAAACGACTACTTTTACATCACAAGCGACGTCACCAATATTAAAAACGAATAAATCTACATCACAGGCCATATCACCAACAGTGCAAACGTCTATGTCTAGTACGAAATCAAAGACCACAGTACCACCATCACAACCGACAACTTCTTCATCACAGGCCACATCATCAACATCACAAACGACTACTTCTACATCACGGTCAACATCGCCAACATCACACACGACTACTTCTACATCACAGACAACATCACCAATATCACAAACGACTTCTACATCAAACGCCACATCACCAACATCACAAACGACTACTTCTACTTCACAGGCCACATCACCAACATCACAAACGACTACTTCTACTTCACATAACATCACAAACGACTACTTCTACCACAGATCACAAACGACTACTTCAACATCACAAACGACTACTTCTACATCACAGTCAACATCGCCAACATCACAAACGACTACTTCTACATCACAGTCAACATCGCTAACATCACAAATGACTACTTCTACATCACGGTCAACATCGCCAACATCACAAACGACTACTTCTACATCACAGGACACATCACCAACATCACAAACGACTACTTCTACATCACATGCCACATCACCAAAATCACAAACGACTACTTCTACATCACAGTCAACATCGCCAACATCACAAACGACTACTTCTACATCACAGGACACATCACCAACATCACAAACGACTACTTCTACATCAGACGCCACATCGCCAACATCAAAAACGACTACTTCTACATCACAGTCAACATCGCCAACATTACAAACGACTACTTCTACTTCACGGTCAACATCGCCAACGTCACAAACGACTACTTCTACATCACAGGCCACATCACCAACATCACAAACGACTACTTCTACATCACAGGCCACATCACCAACATCACAAACGACTAAATCTACATCACAGGCCATGTCGCCGTCGACACGCATGACTACTTCTGCTCCGAAAGCCACATCGCTATCGTCACACATGGCTATTGATACCATGCAGGCTACATCGCCAATGATGCAAACGTCTATATCTAGTACGATATCAAAGACCACAGTGCCACCTTCACAACCGACAACTTCTTTATCACGGGCCACGTCACCAACATCACAAACGACTACTTCTACATCACAGGTAACATCAACAACATCACAAACGACTTCTTCTGCATCAGAGTCAACATCACCAAAATCACAAGCGACTGTTTCTATATCACAGGTAACATCGCCATCATTACAAACGACTTCTTCTACATCACACGCCACGTCACCAATATTAAAAACGAATAAATCTACATCACAGGCCATATCACCAACAGTG